GATGAAGAGCCATTGCTATCACCATCAGCCAAAAAAACTCGACCAGAATATCCTGAGGAAACTGATGAAGGCCCTGACAGTTTGATGGTGTTGTCTGAGGAGCGTATCAAGATTGCTGTTGATTATATGAACAACCACTCTGCTGGTCTTTTACGAAGTCCCCCATACACTGGCAAAAGTTCGTTTGGCATGAAGCTCTGTGACCATTTTTTGAATCTCAATGAAGATGCCATCTATATCTCTTTTGCGGAATTGGCTGGGAAAAAAGAATGTTATGATGAGGACTTATTTAATGCATATTGGGAGGAAGAAACAGCCAGAACCTGGAGGGATATCTTCAAGTGCAAGACACCAACAAAGATCATTATTGACGAAGTACAAACAATCTATGGTGATTGTGCCCCATTCTTTTGGGGTAGTATAAAAGCACATCTTTCAAAACCTAAAAACAACCACCGTGTGCTCTTGTTGGCTACATATAATTTGGCTCTTATGCCCGGTTCGACACCAATAGTATTCCAAGACCCTCTTGGGCTGGATGCCCTACGCCTCACTGAAACTGAATTTGAGGAACTTGTGAAGAAGTATGTCCAAAAGAAGCAAGCTCAGCACCGGAGTTCGCAGTTCGAAATCCCAGAAGAAGTAAGGAAAGCAATCTATAACTCCACTCGTGGACATGCTGGCATATGTCGAAGTACTTTGACATCTCTGCGTCATATGTTTGCGGATGGTGCTGTGGCCAAGAAGATGCTCCAGTATCTTGTATCATCAACGTTTCTCCTTGACTTGTTGGGTACACGTGCTTTAAACTGGGTGAGAAAATGGGAACCAACGAGAGAGGAAGCTAGCTTTCTCCGCTCTGCATTGTACAAATGTGACTCTAATTCATCCTTCACTGCCTCTTTGGATGACGACGACTTTCTCCATGATCTCTCTAAGATTGGTATCATCACCAAGAGCTCTCAACAAGGCAGATATGAGTTTGTGGCCCCTATCATGCGGATTTTCATGAGCCAGCGATTGTTCACTGCACCCACCAATTTACCAAAATCACCTTTGGAGACATTTGACGAATTCTTAATGCGCAGCATTGAACGCATGTGCCCGTCTACTTTGCGTAATTCTTTTGGGAAAGGAGTCACTGGTCGCCTGCTTGAAAGAACATGGCAAATGGAATGGTATAGAGCTGCCAGGTCAGCAGCCCCAGAAGGTGCCTTTATCAGTCCTGATGTTGGTAGTATTTTTGGTTCAGATGGATTTCTGGACTTTTATGTTGATGGAGACCTCTCTTGGGGAGTTGAGCTGACACGTGAGGGCAGTGATCTGAAAGAACACAATCAGCGGTTCGAACAAGATGGCATGTACTCCGATATCCCAATGGAGAAATGGGCAATCATCGATTTCCGGCATCATTCCAAAGGTGTCCGTGAAATACGCCCTAACTTCTGGCACGTCCTTTATCAAAACGATTACAAGAATGTCACCGTCCTCCGCAAAGATCACAAATCATACGTCCTCACGTTGGTTGGTGATGACGACTTTGCAAAATGAAGCCCAGCTTTGCTTTCTGTTCTAAAATAGGAACATTCTTCTTTACAGAGTTTCATATTTGATTTTATAGTGGGTTAGGCTTTTTTTTTTTTTTTTTTTTTTTTTTTTTTTTTTTTCAGTATTTTGTTATGGGTTAATCAGGTTGCGGATTGAAAAAATAAAGAAATGTTTTTTAGAACTCCAAATAGATAAAATACGACAGAGAATAGCAAAAAATAAATGGAATCAAGATGCTTGGTTGAAATTATTTCATTCATTTGTTGCCTAAATATACACCTTGGTCGTGTACAATAGGTTGCCAAAAGTATTCGGCACCCCCTAATTTGGTCGTTCCGCTGCCTAATAAATTAAAAGCGGCTTTTTTTCTGAATGAAACTGCATTATTCTAAATGAAATTTTCGAGCGGCTAACTCCTAAACAAAAGTATGGAGCGGCCACTTTTTGAGCGACCACTTTTTAAGCAACTACTTTCTAAATAAAAGTGAAAAGCGATCATTCTAAATGAGAATGTCAAGCGAGAGAGTCATATTTAAAGACTCCCAGAAAATAAAACCTTTAATATTCCCAAAGATGAGCTCAAATATCTCAAAATCTCGTTACAATCTTCGTAGTTCTGCTAACAAAATTCCATCTGAAGGCCTATCCAAAGGTAGTCCATCTAAATCCGAAGGTGGAACTGTTCAGAATGCACCAAGAACTGGCCGTCCTCATGCACTTAATAAGCGAATATTCGTTACTTAAAAAGAATAGTCACTAAAGATGCAAAAGGTCGCTCTAGTGCTAGTACTATTAAAACAATTGCAGCGAATTTTGATGCTTCCACAACTACTATTCGACGTGAAATGAAGAAATTGGGTATTAATAGTCACTTGGCTGCTAAAAAACCGTTTCTTAGTGAAATTAATGCAAAAAAAAAAAAAAAAAAAAAAAAAAGACTGGAATGATGTTAAATAGAAGGAAGATGATTGGGCAAAAGTTACTTGGAGTGATGAATGTTCAGTGGAATTACGAGGCGCTCGGTGAAAGTTGGTTAATGGAGAAAGATATCTTACAGATTGTGTTCAACCCACAATCAAGAGTGGAAGAAAGACAGTAATGATGTGGGGTTGCTTTCTTGGCAACCTTTAGTACTATGTCCAGGACATATGAATGCAAAAAAAATACTGTGAAGTACTTGAAGAGCATTTAATTCCGTTTTTAAAAATGCTGAAAGGACCGAAAAGCATCTTTATGGAAGACAATGCTCCAATTCATACAGCACGGCTTACAACAAAATTTAAAGTCGACCATAATATCAACACTTTATCTTGGCCACCACTGTCAATTAAATATTAATAAAAGTCACCGTTCAAATTTCAATTTCGGAACAGCCAAATTAGGGGGTGCCGAATACTTTTCCTATCTCAATGTAAACATACTATGTTTATCAGTAAGCACAACGTTCTTGGGTCTTTTGCTCCGCTAGAGATGAGTTCAAAGACATTACAAACATCCAATGGCTAATGAACGGCGCTGACGTCAAAAGTTCACTTTGTCTGGTTTTGTTGCAGCACGCCCCATATATATACCTACTCCTTCTGCCCCTTCTGCCTTTTGCACGCTGTGCACATACCTCAACCACTATGTGGACCGTGAACAGGCGTGTGATCGTCTATTCTCCCATCATCTTGATCATACTCCTCATATATTTGGCCGCACGCCTTACCGACAACCGCGATACCCACGGCATCTTGAGAGCCAACCCGCTACCCTCAATCAGCGATGACTTGCTTGTGTGGCCGCCCAAGCTCGAGAACGCCATCTGTCGTCCCCGCATCTACGTGTACGACATCCCTTCCGAACTGCAGGTCTCTAAGCAAGTCCAAGATGCTGTTTGCGCCGCCTCCAACTACAAGTCTGAGCTCCTCCTCTACGAATCCCTCACAAACCCTTCCTCTCGCTTTAGCGATCTCTACCTCACCAAAGACCCTACCACCGCCGACTTCTTCTACATCCCCTTCTTTGGCGCCTGCTGGCTCTCCAAGTGCTGGTCCGAACATAATTGGAAATTTGAGCAGCGCTGCGGCGTGGATGAGCGTTATGTTATCCCCCTCATGAATCATATCATCCAATCCTATCCCTATTGGAATCATACAGGCGGCCGCAACCACATCATGGTCCACCCCATGGACGGCACCTTCATCTACTATACCAATTCCAATCATCTATTCCAACCCGCCATTTTCCTCACCACTGTTGGCGACAAGCGTACAAAACACACCTCCTACCACCGTCGCCATCGCGACATCATCATCCCCTCCGCCACTGGCCTTCTCCACCGGGCGCATGTTGACCCTCAAGACTATGTTTCTTCGCAAGGGTATCCACTCGCGCGCGTGACTGGCCACCATACCCGAGATATCCTTGTCCTTTTTCGCGGCTGCTGCCCGAACATTCAACCTGGGGATATTTACTCGGCCGGGGTCCGCTCACTGTTCTATACACGGTTCCGCCACCTGCCCGGTTGGGATATTGCCGAATCGTCACCCGACGACGAATACGCGCGGCGCTTGGCGCGTGCGCGCTACGGTCTTGCGCCCATGGGCTGGACGCTCGATACCACGCGGCTGTGGGAGTATCTGGCGTTTGGGGTTGTGCCCGTGATAATCGCCGACGGAATCGTCGAACCATTTGAAGACGATGTCGATTGGAATAGTTTTGCGGTATGGGTGCGGAGAGAAGATGCACATATATTGGATGAGGTGCTCGCAGGGATCACAAACGAGGAATACGAGAGAAAAAGGAAGAGGGTCTGGGAGGAAGGCAGAATGGTCGGCCTAGAAAGGGATGCGTGGCATTTCATTGCCAGAGAGCTATGTAGAATTGGAGAGATCGATCGGCCGGAAAAATTGCAATTATAAAGGTGGGATTTATCGCCAAAAAAAAAAAAGTGGATAAGAGAGGGTGGGTAGGGATTGTCTGAGCTGAGAAAATTGGCATGGTTAACCCTATTTTCTTTTTTGCAAACTGGGATAGATTTAACTACCATTGTTTATTCTTTAAGTCTATTACAAGAGATTGAGTGTCTAAAATTCTTCCACAAGTTTTATACTGTATACACTTCAATAAGTGCATTCAAAATACTCGTATTTCAAACAAAAAAAAAAAAAAAGGACGCTTAGATAAATGACTTTCTTTATTATGCCTCCATCCATCTACGTTAGATTTTTACGCTAGCATTTCGGGCTTGCCACACTATCTCTTGATGACAGAAATAACATCACAACCACTTCTTGCATATTCATGGCCCGAGAAGCTGTCGATTCTGGGGGCAATCAAATTTTTTTTTTTTTTTTTTTTTTTTTTTCCTGCATCAAGCATCAAGCAGAATTTTACCAAAATTTGCTCGCGAAAACGGCAAGCACGGAATTTCCTAAATATAACAAGACAAAAAAACAAAAAAAAAAATGCGCCCTCGGCAGGGATCGAACCTGCGATCTCTTCCTCCGGAGGGAAGCGCGTTAATCCGCTTCGCCACGAGGGCTTATTCGTAACATAGCTATGAAATAAACTATATACCAAACTCATGAAAATAGGATTGCACAACATAGCTGCGAGTAATAATAATCCTCACTTTATCTTTTTTTTATTTTATTTTATTTTATTTTATTTTTATTTTTATTTTTTTTTAAGAAGAAATAAAGATAAGAAGAGAATTTGAATTTAATAATTGCTTTTATTTATTTTTCTAAGAAATATTTAAAGGATAATAGATAATATATTATTGTGACAGCTGACTCCTAAATTGTTTGATTTTTACAAACTTGCCACTATGCCCGATTTAGTTATAGTTACCTTCTGCTTTTGAATATTTGTACTATATGACCATGTCCACAGCTGCAAGCCATTCACTTTTGTAGTAAGGATACTATAAAAGATATATACTACCTACTATAGTAGTAAGGATACTACTCCAGCAGTGATTACGCAATTTGCAATGACCAAATTATTATCTTTGTAGTAAAGTCTTTTAGTTCTTTAATTTTGTATAAATACCCTCTTTATTTCTATCTAAATAAATCAGTTTGCACAGAGTCTTGAAATATCTCAATATTAGTTATAGTAAAGTCTAAAGAGTATAGTACATAGCTATAGTAAGGATATACAAAGGGAGATATCACATCTAACACTCTGAGCATTCTCATTTGGTATATTCAAATGTGGAATGACTGATTATTAGTATATTTATCATATCTTAGTACTGACTGGTAGGAGAGTTATTAAAAGATCAATTCTTATATTCTTATTCAAGCAGGACTGAACTACCCCTTTAAGTAATAACAGCATACCCATAGTGGAAGATAGTATTATTCAAAACATCACTAAAGGACACCTCCACTTTTTATATAAAGAAAATCACCAAATAGCTCTGACTTCAAGGAAGAAGAATTTATTATACTCAACTCTTCTAACAGCAACTATAGTGAGATAAGAGAATCTATTGCCTCTCTTATAGTATATGATAGGTTATCATCAGATGATGAATCAGCTATTGATTTTAGTGATGATCTACAAGTATTATTTTATGAAACATCCAATGACGAGTTAGATAACAAACTAGAAATCAACATATATAAAATGACAGAAAGACCACTAACCTTTACTGGTTATATACCAACCAAATCAATAATCAAGTTTATTGAAGACTTGCAGATTTACAACATAATCTGACAGTTTAACAATGTTGCAAAAGTGAATGTTCTAGAAGCAGTATTATAAGAACTCACCAAGATTATATATAATACTGCAGTAATTACTACAGTAGTAAATGGAGAATTCAATGTAGAAGCAGAAGGAGTGAATGTAGAGGCTAATACTGTAGTAATCTTTACCAATACCATTGCATAGTTAAGAGATACCTATCACATAGCCAACATATAGCAAAATATGAAGGATCAGCTAGTATCAATGTATTAGAGAATAAATAAAAGTCTCCTTATCTTTCACATAAAAATCCAACATATAGTAGACCTTGTAAGATATCCGGTAGTCAATCAGAACCTCATTATAGAGCAGTCTTTTATAAATGGACTTCACTGAAAAATTGCTCTTCAAGTATATTCTAGCTCAGTTAGACTAAATTATATATAAAAGATAAATTACATATAAAGATATTAGGCTGCATAAAATCTGAGTCAAGATATAATATAGTAAATATTGCTGAATAACCTCTAAGAACCCTATACAGTGGTAGTTATATCTACCATTGTACTAGTAATAGTTAACTAGAGAGCAGCTCTATAACAAGACCTAGCCATAGATGACCTTATTGAACAAATGAGTAAGATAACTATATATATCTCAGACCTTAAAAGGCAATTGATGTACAGTGATTAGTCTAATGATTTATGGCAAACTTAACCCCTGCAACTGAATCAAATGTATACCCAATTGGAAATCCAAGGTACTTCAGATATAACCAAGATAGGTATATATCAAGAGACTGCACTTAGCTAGATATGAGAATATACAGAAGATGTAGAGAAAAAGAGCATTATACTTCAAGATGCATAATGGAAATAAGCAGAATTGTTTGACTAGGAACTTAAGGATGAACTTAGATAAATATTATTATCTTTAAAGAAGAAGAATTTGATAATAAAGATAAATATAGTCAAGTAGAAACATTCTCAGTTATGTAAGAAAAACGAAAACCTAGATATCCTAAGAAAGTAGAATTCTCTTATATGATAAAAACCCCACAAGTAGTAAAATAAGCATAAGAATATGAATTCGATGGTGACAAACAAGATGAGCTATTTGAAGAAGAAGTCAACTGTATCATTTAAGAAAATATGCTAATATCTGAGGCACCTGTGAGTAAAGGAAATAAGGAATATAAGTTATTGAAATCAAAGAAATATAGTCTAGATATATAGAAAGAAATAGAAGATATGACAATCCTAGTCAAAATAGGATAACTTGCTGAATTTCCAACATTCCAATAGCAAATTCAAAAAGGGATAAGTGATGTACAATCTGGGTATAAAGTGGTGGAGATCAATGCAGCATAGCAATCAGAGGATAACAAACTACAGAACTCCTCAGCATACTCACAATGTCAGATTAAAGAAATTACAATATCATATATTATCAACATAGGTGCTAGAGAATGCATCATTAGTAAAACAATACTCAACCAACTTGAATAGTAGATTGAAGAAGCTACAACTATGATAATTATAGTAGTAGATAGATATGTTATAACACTGCTTGGTAAAGTATATAAATTATCCATCTGCTTTAGTAAACTTATAGGTATTCTTGAGTCTAAACAGCATTTGTAAATATTTCAAATAGCTTTGTAATATTATAAATAAGGTAATCTTTTATAATTCTTCATTAAGTCCTATTTATTAATATTTGCTAGTCATATCGAGAGTTGTATAGAGACTTACACAAACCAGTATTTTTAAAAAAGTGTTATTGATTCTTGATATTGGAAAGGCATCTCTCTTGGTAATATCATTAAGCTTTCTGAAATTGGTATATATTCTTGAAGCAAAGGTTCTAGCTTCTAATTCTTTCTTTAGTATAATAATGTTTGAGAATTCATATAAGCTATCGGTTTCAGCTACTATTCCTTCTTTGACTATATTATCAATTTCTTCTTATTGCTATTCAATATAAGCAGATAATGTTTGGTATAGTATACATTTGATTAGCAGATATCCTTGAATGTTAATATAATAGAAGTGCTTTAACAGTTTCAAGTTGATCTTCTCGAAAGTTATCATAAAGATATTGTAGTATTCATCAATGAGTGATTTCAGTTCTTTCTTTTCTTCTTTGCGAAGTTGTTCTCCAAATATGTACTTCTTCTTGTTTACTGTCTTAAATGCATACTTGAGATCCATCATGACTTTTATAATGTTAACTTTAGTCAATCTAAATCCTTTGTCTTCTCTAGCTGTTTCTTCAAGCTTGGTTACTTTTACTACTTTGCCAAATAGGTATGATTATTAACTATGCAACTCAGTCTTCTTTATAAAGTTTGGCTATATTGAATTGATGTTGGTTAACAACTATAATCTTGATTTCTCCTATATAATCTATATTGATTACTCTTGTATTGATTGTAATTCTGGTGATCACAAGGGAACTCCTTAGTTTAATCTGACCATAGTATCCCTGGGGTATTCTTGTAGCAATTTCTATTCCAACTATATATGATTCTCCAGATTGCAATTCAATATCTTTAATAGTAGAGAGATTGAATCTGGTAGCTTGTTCACTTTTCATTCTAATAACTTAGCCTTCTCATTGGTTCATATAATTTACATTATAAAGAATTTCTTCTGTTTATCCTTATCATTACTTTCCATCATCTGTAGGCAAACTTCTCTTTCTAAGTCAATGGGTATTTCATAGTAACATCCTTTCTAAGTGATTTACATCTTGCATTTGCTAAAATCGATTACTGCTTGCACTTTCTTTAACTAGTTATTTCCAATAATAAGGTTATAGAATGTAATATCAACTACTATTGCTGACACTGAGATAATGAGTTTTCTAAAGCAGATAGGTAGTTTATGTACTTTGCTAAGCAGTGTTGCAATGTATCTATCTGCTACTACAATTATTATAGTTGTAGCTTCTTCAATCTGCTATCTGAGTCAGTTAAGTATCATTTTATTGATGATGTATCCTCTAGCACCTGTATTAATAATGTATAGTATTGTAATTTCTTCAATCTAATACTATGAGTATGCTAAGGAATTCTGTAGTTTGTTATCCTCTAATTGCTGTGCTACATTGATCTCTACTACTTTATATCTAAGTTGTATATTGCTTATCTCTTTTCAGATTTGCTGTCAGAATATCAGAAATTTAGTGAGTTATCTTATTTTAATTGGGATCATTATGTCCTCCATTTTCTTCCATATATCTAAGCTGTATTTCTTAGATTTCTATAACTTGTATTCCTTGTTTTCTTTACTTGCAGGTGCCTTGAATATTGGTGTGTTCTCTTGAATAATGTGGTTGACTTCTTCTTCGAAGAGTTTATCTTATTTATTACTATTAAATTCTTATTCTTATACTTGTTATACTATTTATGGAGTTTTTATTATATAAGAAGATCCTGCTTTCTTAGGACATCCAGATTTTCATTTTTCCTATATAGCTGGGAATACCTCTACCTGACTATACTTGTCTTTGCTATCAAAATCTTCTTCCTCAAAGATAATAATATTTATTTGAGTTCATTCTTAAGTTTCTAGTCAGATAATCCTACTTGTTTCTGTTATACATCTTGAAGTGTAGTGCTCTTTTTCTCTATATCTTCTGCATATCTTTATGTCTGGTTGGTTACAGTCTCTGGATATATATTCATCTTGGTTATATCTGAAGCACCTTGGGTTTCTAATCAGGTATACATTTAATCTAGTTGCAGGGGTCAGGTTTGCTATAAATCATTAGACTAGTCACTATAAGTCAATTTGTCTTTTAAGGTCTAAGATATGTGTAGTTATCTTACTTATT